ATATATAAATAATTACTGTACACCTGATTTGAGACATAGCCACCGAGAAATTCGAAGAGAAACTAAAATATTATTGAGATTCATGAAAAATAAACCTAAATTTTCAAGCAGAAACAACGGCTCAGATTGTACATCGCTACTTCGCCGACAGCCAGTTTATGGACAGAAATGGCAAACTTCGATGAAGTTGTAATGAAAATATGATTGATTTTTGAGCAATTGGCAACTCTCTATTTAGGGCCGTTTATTCCTTATGATGAAATGGAATTTTGTACTCGATGATAACCAAGATATAACAAATCAATAGAACAGAACACACAACCAAAATATCCGGACAAAAACTTAAGAAAATACGTTTCGAATCATAGTAATGCCTGTCTCTTATACACATCTAACCTTTCCCACGGTCTCGCAATAACAGCGCCGCATTCTTAGCATTCTTAACATCTATGCATAATACATGTTCAATATTACCTACTGTCAATATTACCTACTTTATTCACCGAAACGTTTTCAATATCGATTTGGCGAATTTGCATGACATTTTCTATGCTTTTAAATTCATTGTGAACTTGCTATATAAGCTGACCGATAATATAAGTACCTTCAGCAAACCGTAGATTCTGTTATATTGTTCAAAATTTAAGAAATAACTTTACAACTATTTGCAAGATATGCAACGAGACGTCACGCGGCACCTGGACCGTCGAGAGGGACGAGGATCTGACGGCACCATACGCCTTCGCCAACTCCACCTGGATTGCCTACGAGGACCCGACTTCCCTCAGGATAAAGGTGGGGGAGCTTAATAGGTAGCTCGTTTTGTTTAATTAAGGACACTGATCATTTTTCATCCACAATGATTAGTTGTTTAAAACTACGAGGTGTCTTCACGACCTGCGCCCTGTTATCACTGTCATCTTGTCATCACCCGACCCATGTCGTATCCTCCTCATGTAAACATTTGGCCGACGTTCTTCTACTCCGTATCTACCGACTCGTAGTTTAGATGAGGTCTCCTTGCTAACCACTTCGTTCCAACAGACGAAGTACGCTATGCTGCGGGGGCTGGCGGGTGTTGCCGTTCACGACGTTTCTTCAGACGATAGGCAGGGGACCTGCGGGGCAGGGACTTTCCCCCTCCTGGGTGCCGTCTGGACCACCTACTCTCAGGTGGGTCTATAGGTTACCAATCCTGACGGTCGTCTGGACCAACTACCTTCAGGTGGGTCATTGCGTTACTCTTCCTGACGGTCGTGGACAATTAAACCTAGGTGGGGTTTTGGATTACCACTCCTGGGTGCCGTCTGGACCACCTACTCTCAGGTACCGGCATTGTCACCCACTCACAGGCATAAATATTGCATCGTATGTTTCAACACCCATTTGGTCTTTTCCATGAAGGTACCTTCAGTAATGAATTTAAAAGCAAAGAAAACGCCAAGCAAATTCACCATATCGATATTGAAAACGTTTCAGAGTCCAGCTCCATCATCGGTTCTACAATCTAAAAATGAATAAACGTTTCCGAAACTTTTTCAATATCGATATGGCGAATTTGCATGACGTTTTCTTTGCTTTTAAATTCCTTGTGAACTTGCTATATAAGCTGACCGAACAAATTTATCACGTTTATCGCAATACAACTCACGGATGAAGGTGAAATTTAAAAAAATTTTACGAGCTAAACATAAACGTTAGGTACTGATGAATACATGTTCCAAGTTTCATTGAGCTGCGTTCATTAATTTGGGAGATATTGCTTGATAATGGAATTTGGGGATTAGTCGTGCGACCGGCTGCGAGTCCGGCCGTGAATTAGCCCGAGACGTCCTACTCCTAGGCAGGGTCGAACTATATAAGGTTGACCCACGAGAAGTTCCGTCTTTCAGTTTAGCTTTCTTGTTACGTCACTGAGATCGAGAAATGTAAACAATCCCGTCATTCCCATGACGGAGTGGTTGACTGGTTTGATCGCATTTCGGTGATTGGTTTATGCCCGTGACGTCACTGAGATCAGTGACGTCACAGGCGAACAACGAACTACATCCGCAAAATTGGGCTTCTGATGGGTCAACCTTATACTAGTTCAACCATGGTCCTAGGTTTCTAGTGCTGAAACAGTTAAAACAGCTTAAAAACATATTGGTTCACTAAATGGGGTTCTATTTGTAAAATACACATTTGTGTTTAACCTTTATATTTTAAAATTGCAGCGTACTGAATTTCAAGAAAGAGGCGTATGATTTATATGTGTCTGTGGGGGTCGAAAGAAGTTCACCAGGGAGCCAAAGGGGGCGCCAGCCTGAAAAAGTTTGGGAACCACTGGTATAGAGGCTTAATTGCTCGTATATATTCTATATTTTCTATAAAGAATTAATTTATTGCTAGAAACTGCAATTTAGTAGATTTGAGAATCACACCCTCCAGAATATTAGAATTTTCTACCATGGAGAAGCACTTAATAATAAATGTTATCATGAGTGATAGAGATGTAGCTATGAAGAAGCACAACATAATAAATGTTATTATGAGTGATTAAGATATAACTATGAAGAAGCACTTCACAATAAATGTTATCATGAGTGTTAGAGGTATAACTATGGAGAAGCGCTTCATAATAAATGATATCAGGATATTTGGTCTTAGTCTATTAGCCTTAGTCACTTAGTCTATTAGAAATGTTATTGTAATAGGGTTTGATCCATCATATCATTATGTTCGTTGGGTACATTAGTTACGTTAGGTCCACTTGGTCAATTAGGTCCAATAAACCCAGTTTATCCGGTCTATTCGATGATTATCAAAGTATTAATTACAATGCAAGATCAACCAATAGGTTCACTCTTATATAAATATTTATAATTTACAATGTGTTACTCGTTATACCTTCCGTTCCATCACCGCTTAGTCCTTAGCAGTTCACCAACCATTTCATTAAATGTATATATTCGTATTGATACAGCATTAACAAACCATAGCTCTGCTGAATACATAGCCTTATATGTTGCATGTTATTATAATACAAATATTATAGAATTTTTATTTTGCAATATATTATTATGTGTGTTTGGTTGTGGTCAGTCTGGTGGACATGTTCAGCCTGGGCACGGACAACCTGACCAGCCCTCGCCGCCCCCTCAACCAAACCTGCCACCACGCCCGCCTCATGGGCGTCGCGGACATCGAAAACGCCGTACGAGCGAGTTCCCGTACGTTTAGCATTAGTTAATAGCTAATTGATCGAACTCAATCGTTAACGCAAGTTCCCGTACGTTTAGCATTGGTTATTAGTTAATTGATCGAACTCGATCGTTAGTGAAAGTTCCCGTACGTTTAGCATTGGTTATTAATTACTTGATCGGACTCAATCGTTAATGCAAGTTCTCGTACGTTTAGCATTGGTTATTTGGCACTAGATTGAACACGATCGTTAACGCAAGTTCCCGTACGTTTAGCATTGGTTATTAGGTACTTGATCGAACTCGATCGTTAACGTAAGTTCCCGTACGTTTTTATTGAGTTTCTGTACGTATATAATTGATACTTAAATTAATTTGACAGAACTTGATCGTTGATGCAAGTTGCCGTACCTTTGGCATTTTTTTTGCGAAGTTTAGCATAATTTTAATGTTAATGTTTCGTCCGATTATCATTAGCTCTTGCATTAGTTAAACATGTATCTTCAGGGCAAGTTTAATTGAATGCTGGATTTCATCTCTGTGAGTCTTAGTTTTTTGCAAGTCACTCTTTTAGTTTGATTTAAAGAATCAAAGCGACGGTTCATAAAGTCATTGTATTGAATGGTAATTCCAAAATTATCTGTGATTGAAAAATAATATATTTTATCAAGGATTATCTGTATGTTTCGTTACTACAAAATTAAATATTATTATCATTGGGGAATTACCCGAGAGTTTAGTCAGCTTTGCTACATTGGGAGAAATGAGTAAGACTTTATCCACATTGCGATGCACTTTTTACTACTATCGCTTATTTACTTTTAACACTTTGGTGTGTGGGTCATATAGACCCAGTTTGGCTCTCTGCTTGTACTCTGTGTGAGAAAGTGCGTCATAAGTTGAATAATTTGATCCATTTATCTTTCTGAATGAAGGATTCGCTGGTGGACCTGGCCCACGGGTTGGGGGCACCTCTGGACCAGCTCCTCCTGGGGGTGACCACGAAGGGGATGAAGTTTACCCTCGCCGACCCCACCGTGACCGTCGCTCGAGCCCCCGCTGTTGGGGGACCTGTTCCCATCACCTACTCTCAGGTACCGGCAAATGTCACCCACTCACAGGTATAAATATTGCATCGAAAGTTTCAACACCCATTTGGTCTTTTCCATGAAGGTACAATTACCTTCAGTAATGAATTTAAAAGCGAAGAAAACTATAAGCAAATTCACCATATCGATATTGAAAACGTTTCAGAGTCCAGCTCCATCATCAGTTCTACAATCTAAAAATGAATAAACGTTTCCGATGATTAAATAGGGATTTTAAAGATATATATAATAAAGAGAGAGACGTTTCCTATCGTCTCATATCTTTTAAAGTTGGGTGAATCGGAGTGAATTACTCCACCATTTTGACGTTACGATCAGGTTCAGGTTCAAGATACCGGTATTCATTACTTATCGTTTTGTCAGGTGGTTGCCGAGTGGCATTTGATTTGGCACGTGAATAAGGTTCTCTTTTTTTTTTGGAAGCGTTACGGCAAAGAAAATACAAAGAGAGGGTTGTAATGAAACACTGATACATTTCATATTAAATTGAGAAATTCAAGTTCACATCCTACGTTAACAAACATCTCTAGTAGGTAAATGAAGAAGGCGAGCTGAACATAATCTGTCTCTTATACACATCTAGATGTGTATAAGAGACAGGTGTNACCAACTACCTTCAGGTGGGTCATTGCGTTACTCTTCCTGACGGTCGTGGACAATTAAACCTAGGTGGGGTTTTGGATTACCACTCCTGGGTGCCGTCTGGACCACCTACTCTCAGGTGGGTCTAAAGGTTACCACTCCTGACTGTCGTCTGGACCAACTACTCCAGGTGGGTCTTTGGGTTACTCTTCCTGACGGTCGTGGACAATTGAATCCAAGTGGGTTTTTGGATTATCACTTCTGACGGTCGTCTGGACCAACTTCAACCAGCTTGGTCTTTGGGTACCACTCCTTGGTGCCGTCTGGACCACCTACACCCAGATGGGTTCTTGGATTACCACTCCTGGGTGCCGTCTGGACCACCTACAGCTAGGTGGGTCTTTGGTTTGCCACTCCTGGGTGCTGTCTGGACTACTTACACCCAGGTGGGTCCTAGGATTACCACTCCTGGGTGCTGTCTGGATCAACTACACCCAGGTGGGTCTAGGATTACCACTCCTGGGAGCTATCTGGATCAACTACACCCAGGTGGGTCCTCTACTTTCCGCTTGGGTTAAGGCCATCTACAAGTAGTTGTTCCAGCGGATGTTTTAAAATCATGATGCTGTTACCAAAATAGGTCTAAAGCTTTAATATTTATCAAGTAAAAACTTATTATGTCAGCTGATTTAATTCATAGGTAACAGTGAAATAATTTCCGTATGAAAGAGCTGTAAATCATAAAATTTTGGGATTTTTTTGTTAAATCATTCCATTCTTGATACAATTCTATTGGTGCAGCTGATTCGCACCCCCCGAAAGGCGGTGCTGGAGAGCCTGGTGGCCGACCTGGAAGCAGAGGGCTCCGCCGCCGCTACTACGTATTCCCTGGCCCCTAGTGCCCCAAATGCTCGACGGTTCAGCACATCACCTTTCAAGATCGTGCGCATCGTCGACAGAAACGGGGACATTCGTGCGCTCAGGTGAACATTTTCCTTTCTTCAAATTTACTTATGAGGCTGAGTGAGGCTGAGTGAGTGAGATAGTTCATAGCCAATTCTCTTACTATATAAAGGATCATTTGTCACTGCGCCTCCCATGCAAGTTCAGGTGCACATTTGAACGATCAGGGGACTTGCGAGGTTCACAAGAATTCTTATTAATTTTTAAGCGTTTATTTCAAATAAGTTTATTTTAATGATATTTTGTAGATCTTCAACTGTAATAATATTGTTTAAAAATGAAATTGATAGAAAATAAATTAGTATGTAATAATTACTCATGAGATGAAATGTATTACAGTATTTAAAGTAGTAAAATATTTTTCAGGTCAAATGATGATACGGACTTCGAATGCACAAGGCAGGGGTACTACAGAAACCCGAAGGACTGTTCTCAATTTTACCGGTGCGTCAAGTTCGACCAGTACATCGACGATTACACGGTCTTCGAGTACGGGTGTCCTTCTGGGCTGGTTTTCGACGATCGCTGGGAAGTCTGCGCTTGGCCTTCAACGGCTCCTCCTTGCGATGGTTCGTCCGAAATTTTCCCGGTGCCAAGCCTGAAGAACCTGTGTCCGGGAGAAGGATTCTTTTCAGATCCAGAGAACTGCAGGTGGTTTTTTGCTTGCAAAGATTACTACGGGAATGGTACCTACCTGCAGTACGAGTTCAGATGCCCGTTTGGACTTGCCTACGACGAAGCAAACGGCATCTGCAACTGGTCGTGGCTGGTAAACAGCTGCGGTGACGCGGGCGTTGAACGGCAAAAGTATAGCGGGAACACCGGGAATATCAGACCAATTTCAGTTAATCAGGTAGCAGGAGGACTTTTCAGAGATAGAGGACAAGGAGGCAAGGAACTGAAGGATAAAGCGTCAAGTTACGACACAGAATCGAATAAACCCATCAATGAAAAATGCATTGACTGTGGAGATTCACCTCTTCTGGCTCTTGGAGGCGTAGGTGTTTATGATCCTGTTCGAGGGCTTGTAGTCGGCCATGAACTAGCCACCAAAAATGATGGAAGCTACGATGAAGGTTTTAAATCAGTTAGCAGGGCCCGAAATAAAATTTTCACTTCAAGTAACAGTCAAGGATCACTCGCTGAACAGGGAAGTTTGATATCTTCAACCAGCTCAGTTAGAGAATCTGCGCAAGCAGGAAACATTGCTGCAAAACCACAACGTTCTAAGTCGCGTTTTACTTCCGCAAACGATGAATTAAACTCGGATTTTTACTCTAATTCTGAAGTTAAATCAGTGGCTAGACCTGAGTCTGGCAACGGTGGAAATGCTGTCAGGAACCTCAAAATTCAACATTCCACTGGGCAACGCACTTCTTCCAAAACATATTCTACCCAGTCTGAACCAGATGACTCAGACGAAACTGATCAATCAGATGGTTACAGCTTCCCACAACCGACGTTTGGCAGTAGCAATTTCGGCAATCGTCTTTCGAAAGTAAGCGGAATAAGTAATAACTTTGCGAAAGATTCTGCGTCTGGCCGACCAACTGCCGCGTTTATCTCATACGGAGTGCCGACGCTGGGTTACTCAACGCCCTCGCCGCAACCTCAGCATCAAACAACTGCTGCACGACCATCGCATCCCATTGACGACGCCGGAAATGATCACTCTGAAAAGGATGGATTTAAATATGATGGCTCTTTAAATGGTGAATCGTCTGGAAATGAAAAACAATCGTCGTACTCATACCCAGAACCGGATGTATCCTTCGATTTCGCGAATGCAAAGAAGAACGGTCCTAATCTCAGCACTGTCCAGCAGCCGCCGCAGCCGTATGGATTGAGCAGTTCTGATAGAAAAGAATCAAATCGAGACCATAGTGAAGAAAAATACGACAAGAGCATGTTTGGTCACAACGTACAATCTGCCAACCGAAACTTTGGCTATACAGAAGACAGAAATCCATATTCACCAGACATGCCTTCATCCATTTTTGTCAAGATTGATAATGGCGATGATAAGACATATGGTGGAATCAACAAGAATAGCAATGAAGACGTAAATAGAAATTCTGGAAGTGAAGGTTACGCTTACAACCTGCCAACGAAATCCTTTGATCCTTTCACTAATCCTGACAAGGACGGTAGTGATGGAAATCTTGCTCAGAGAAACAGTAATAGTAATGCGAATCTTCCGTCTCCATCAACGCCAACTTACAGTGCGCCTCGGCCAACAATAGCACAGTCACCAACTGCTAGTTACACATCACCTCGTTCCACTACTATATACGAATCGCCTCGCACAAGTTACACGTCACCACGTCCAATTACAAAGTACACACCAACTTCTGTTGTTCACACTACGCTGCGACCAACCACGAGGTATACTCCTCGTTTCTCCACGGCGTCACCTAACCGTCCTTCTACATCGTACACCTCACGCCCAGCGTCAACGTATGATGCTCGCCCCGAGAATCAATTCCCTTCTTCAACCTTATCCTTGAGCAACATCCCACCAAGAACGACTCAACCTAGACCAAAATTACAGTCCACTACCTCAAGGCCGCTTTCGAACGACAGGCCGCACACCAAGCCTGAATATTCATATGGTAATCCAGTAATTTCCTTCAACCCTTTCCAGGCTCCGACAAAGGTCAAATCGGATAGTGATGTGACTCAGAGCTTAGGAGCTTCTGGAGCATTTAGAGACTCGGGAGTGAATGGGCAGGTTTTCAATCATCCTGCAGCGAATAACTTGAGAGTACAGTCTTCCAAACCTATCGCAAACTCTCAACAGAATGAAGAGCGTAATTCACTTACTTATTCTACTTCTTCTAAAACGAAACTCGGATCTGGCAGCGCATCTCAAGCTAAACACGAAGATGGATATGAATATTCGGCTCCGTCCGGAATATCTTTTAATCCGTTCGCCGCTCCTCAAAATTCAGTATCGAGGGATGAGAAGCCCTATTACTCAGGATCTCGTTCAGATGCAGCACAAATTCGAAAGGATTCTAATGGCAAATTCAGAACCAATCCTCTAAAGAATTCAAATATACCCGACGCTGTGTCACATTTTGGACCAATTTCAGAACAGACAGCACAGTTAGTACTTTCCTCAGAACAAAAATATTCAGCTAACGATGGTTCATCGGAAAATATTAGGGAGCAATCTGTCAAAAAATCTCATTCTCGTCAACAAGATGACGTCAAATCAGCAGGCTACGCTTACAGCTCACCGTCAAAGAGTTTCAACCCATTCAAAGCTCCGGAAGCTTCTCTGAACGGAGGAAGGAAAGTCAGTTCTTCAAAGCATTCAACCGGCGGTAACAAGGACGTAAATAGTTCTGAGAATGATAAATATGCTTCTCATTTCGAAATCATTGATCTAACGTCAGCAGGAGGCTTTAGAGATCATAGTGGATCCGGAGAAAATGACAGAAATAATCAAAAAACGGTGTCTCACTTTGGCTCTCCAAGCAGAGCCAATACGAAGACAGCTAGTTCATCCGGAAGCTTTAATGCAGGTCATGAAGACCAAAAATCACTCTTCGTAAGTCAGGGCACAACAAAGACATCAGAGTACGAGTATACTGCTCCCGCATTCTCGTTCGATCCCTTCACGGCTCCAGCAACAACAGCAGGACAGAGTGGAAGTTTAACAAAAGAAAATGGTCGTTCTGTTGAAACTTCCAGAACAGCTGCCCCACTACATTTTAGAGTTATAACTGGAGATTCTGCTGAAGATAACGAAGGTTCAAGCAAAGTACATTCTACTGGAAATTCAGTAAAAACAGCGCAGTCCGGATATCAGTACAAAAACCCTTCTCAAACATTTAATCCATTTGCAGCCCCTCCTTCAATTAAAATTCATAATGCTGGTGTTGGTAGCCACGTTGCTGATGATTCCAGTGAGGATTCTGCTTATGCACACTTCGGTGCTAATCAGGAAGTTTCTCGAGGATCGAGCCGAGACAAACACCAGCAACGTCCTTCAGCTTCACTTATCAATGCATCCGCTGATAAATCAAATACAAATGGCTACCGATATGGCAATCCTGAGATGCCTTTCAATCCTTTTACCGCCCCACTTAGTTCAAGTCAAATAAAGACTACAACAAGCTTTGGTAAGGTGAAGCCTGAAGAATCACAACCATCGGTTCATTCACACTTTGGAGGAACATCCACTTCGGTATCTGTCTCTACAGGTGGAGATTTGGATAAAATATCAGATCCCAAAGAGCAATCCCGAGGGAGCATAAATTTTGTAGCGACTAATGTCAAATCCGGCGGCAGCCGATATTTCGGAAGCTCACAAGACTCCACGAACTTTAGAAGTAAGCAGAAGCTGAGCAACGCACCGATATCCGGTGGGCAAAGTAAGGTTGACTACGTGGATGCAGCTGCAAGCCACTTCAACGTTGATTCTTCATCCAAAAACAACGACGAATTTAAGCAATACACGTCAAGTGCCAGTTACAGCAACGACGCACCGAATGCTGGATTTAAACCATTCACGCGTTCTCCAACTGGAAATTCAGGATATGGAGACGATAACAATAATGACAGATTAACAGAACTTGGCCATTTCAGTGTCAAACAGTCGTCTCAGTCTAGAAAACCGCAGCTTGAAAGAGACAACTCAGATGAAAGTTTCAGCAGCGGTTCTTCGCGCTATAATGGAAACCGAGGCTCACTTGATTCCACTTCAAGCTACCAGGGAGTTTCATTGAGAAGAAATGGTAAAAAATTGGTTGGAAATTCTGTATATTCGGCTACCCAAAGTTCTTCTGCGAACTTACTAGCTTCAGTTCAGAAACAGGAAAACACGAAAACAGATGAAACTTACAGCGCAAATGCAGGAAATGGAGCTGCATTTGGAGCATCTCGTTTCGCCATTAGTGGCGTGAGTAAGTCAACTGGCTCCCACAGTTCTGACTCAATTTCTTTATCAAACGAGAAATCGTATTTTACTTCTACTTCAACGGAAGTGAGTCTAGGCAATAGAGACAGTAAAGATGGATCGAACTTCTTTAAGAATGACCGGGCTTTCAATAGTCCGTATGGCGTTGAGTCGCACAGGAAATCTCCCCAAGAATCAGATTCTGGTCGATATACCGCGTCATCAACTGCAGGCCAAAGCCCTAATGTTGGTCGTTCAGCAGCAACCGACGGGTCTCATGGTCATTTCGGCAATTTGAATCCCAAAACTGGAACATCGATCTCCACCAAACCAAACACGACACCCAATGTACCTGCATACGGCAAGAACTTTGCCGACCTCCAAAGTCTCGGTGTTCGAGTCCCGATAAATGATGGTCCGCCCTTGGTGGCCAAACTTGGTGGGTACTCTGCCAAAAACTCAAAGAAAGGACCCCAGAAGTTTGGACCCGGTGGCGTCAGAGATTTCGACGACACCCTTGGGCCTGAGGTGTGCGAGCGCGCAGGTCTCTTCAGACATCCAGATTCCTGCGACAAGTTCTACGAATGTTATTGGGACCGATGGATAGAAAAGTTCACTCTGCACGTGTTCGACTGCCCAGTTACGATCGTGTACGACTCCGGCATCACCGCCTGCAACTGGCCGTTCAATGGACCCCCTTGTGCTGATGAGCGACATGCTTGATATTGAGCTGGGATTAGAAGCAGATTCCCTCGCTTGGAAAAATCGATCAGTTGTACTTTGAAAAATTTTTTTTAGACAAATTTGAAAGTATTATTTAGGATATTCTAAGAATATTCAATCACCAGCCACACAAAAACGATGCCATGCCGCTGAACAGAATGGCTTTCCTACTTTTATTGCTTGACTTTAAATGCATCCCGTTGCCATAACTTTTATTGCACCTACCAAACTTGCGATGTCCCGAGTCGCGAAACTTATTTTCCAACAGCGCCTTCAACATGAATACCTTCCAATTTATCACTTCAGAATGTAATTTCTTAACCATTTATATAAATAGTTATCTTCAATCCACAATTACATCGCTCAAATGTCAGTTTTAAGTTTCTAATATCATTTTGTGCAACCTAGATTTAACACTTTCAATTGGACATAAAATACGTTCACATTTCAGCTGACATATGATGTGTACGCATTCAAGTTTTCATTGAGACATGCACATTCGAGTTGACATTGATATGAACACATTGAAGTAGACATATAGATATGTACACATTCAAATAGACTTGTGATATGTTGAACAACATTCAGCTGCCTCCCCATCGCGAGGTTGAAGCAACTCCAAATAAAGTAACACAGCTACCGCGCTTTCATCTTTAACTCAACTGTGTTAGTTGACCAAAGATTTATATAATTTTATATAAAAGCTCCAATATTTTTTCACAATTCGAATTTTGTGCATAGGAGTGAAAATTCTGCAACCATTTTAACTAAAATAGAAATTTTATTCATTCTGATGTATGTCGATGACTCTGGGGAAGCATGACTTGCATGTTCAGTCGTTGACATTGGACGACAATATCTCTAAATATACATTCAGATTCAGTTACAAAGTATGTTCTCGTTCACATATACCTTGATAAGCAGAGTTTGGTTGTACTTTTTCCACTTACTTTTATTTACATACTTCTTTAGTCTATTTAGATTTATTTTAATTTGTAGACTTTTTCGCCCATTTACAATTATTTTAATTTATATACGTTGGTCGTCCCGTTAAATTTATATTAACTTATATTCGTGGTCATTTAATTTAATTTTTTAACGACAGATTTTTTGTACTGATCACACTAAATCAAAAATACTTCTATCAATACTTAATGGTATAGAATGATCATTTGTACAAGTAATATCGTAATTATAACAAAAAATGTTTGTTTTGATTTGGTTTCTATTTTAGGGTTTTTTCATTATTGGAAAGATCGTACAAATAAGATATTAGTGGCAGAAAACATGCCATGGTGTCCCTCAGTACTGAGGATTACTTTATTGATATAAACCATTATTTTCCTTTGCCTATTATATCTATAAATCTATAAGTGATATTAGAAGAATAATGTCCTCATTCACTAGCAATGATTAAATAATAAGATAAATTTTGGTTAAAACAATTTGATAAGCAAGTATGTATATTTGTGGTACCCTGACATCGACATATACTTACTTATCCAATACTTTATTTGTGGTACACTGGCTCTGACTTACGCTTACTTTTCCAATACTTTATTTCTGGTACACTGGCCCCGACTGACACTTACATATCCAATACTTTATTTGTGGTACACTGGCTCCGACTTACGCTTACTTACCCAATACTTTATTTCTGATACACTGGCCCCGACTGATACTTACATGTGCAATACTTTATTCGGGGTACCCTGGCCCCGACTTATACCAACTTATTCAATACTTTATTATGTCTTGAATTTACTTGAATTTTTTGATGTTAGCATCTTAGTATTTATTCATATTTATATTCCTAATAATTAAATTGGTTTGAAAATATAAACAGGTTTCATTCATACCTACTGCTGCAGGAATCACTTGGCATTATACTATTATATATTACATTATTATCACCTTGAACATCTATCATCTGTACATAGTACGTTGTTTAGTTCATATGTTACCCGTAGATATTACAGAAGTTACCCTAACGAAATTCGGTGAATGCTTCAGCCCCAGCCCCAGAGTTGCTATGTTCGCATTAGAGTTATTCTGGGTCAGTTGGCCACCTGATCGCAATCAGCGACTAGTCAGAACCTCTTTGCCGACTTTATAGTCTCCTGAGAGTAGGGCAAGAGTTGGCAGAATAAGGACCAGGCGCTTGTTGCTGTCTGATTCGGGGACCGGAATGTAGACCATAGTTGGCCACCTGATCGCAATCAGCGACTAGTCAGAACCTCTTTGCCGACTTTATAGTCTCCTGAGAGTAGGGCAAGAGTTGGCAGAATAAGGACCAGGCGCTTGTTGCTGTCTGATTCGGGGACCGGAATGTAAACCAAAAGCGGACATAGAGAAACTGATTTACGCTCGGTCTGAGTCCTAGACCGCCACCAACTCAAAATTTTGATAGGGCAATTTTATATTTTAGGATAATTCTTCAAAAACATTTACACTCAGAAAAAAAGTCTGCTCGTTTATTTTATTACTTGGGTAACTTCGAAAGTTCTGAAAGTAAATGTCATTTTGCTTTCAGTTGATTTTATGACAATTTTTTTGTACTTTTTGTCTCCATTAAAAATTCAGATTAAAGCAATACAATTGAATTAATGAAGCTCGTCAGTGATGGAATGAATAAATGATGAAATCTGCATTTGTTGCGAAGTTTATTGGCAATGGAGAAAGTTACCGGCAGTCGAAATGATGTTAAAGGGATATGCTCTTCACCCTTAGTCAAAGTTTTTGTTCAAATTTGGGTCACTCCAGAGATAATGGAGTCGGCTTAGAGGTGCATCAAGCAAGGATCGGCCACGTACGGTGTTCGGCTGCTATTTAGCCGCCTCTTTCAAAAACCAATTTCCCGGTGGGCAGAATCTTCGTAATGTAACTGGAATGAGCAGCATGTAACTGGAATGACAGCAGTTCAAGCTGTCTCACGATGCTTCTGGTCAGGCTACCGCATGATGTCCTGGTAATATATAAAATAAGGCTAGACGGGTTAATTGCGTGAACCGTGACCATCTCCCGCTCAATAAATGGCTATGTATGTTTGCTAAGTAATACGACGGAACGAAACGAGAGTCGAGGTTAACCTGACATATAGCATGGTGAATTTAGCCTTTGATAAACACACCCATGCACCTACTGTTCAAGGCGCCTATTTTTAATCTGACACTTCTGCAGGCGCTTCTGTTTGCTGTGCCGCAAATGTTTGAGGGGAGCGTCTGGGTGGTAAAAAAACTTTTTTGTTTACAGACGGATCGTTTTAAAACTTGGTACACATATGTAAAACAGAATTCTAAGACTTTTTTGTTCGTGTGAATTTTTGAAAAAAATGGAAGAAAACGTGAAATTCTTAGAAAACGGCCAAAAAGGGGGTACCGCAGAAAACTATATCCTCCTAGGATTTTGAAGCTACAACATCGAGACGCATATCATTCGATGCGTAAGGACCATATCCAGAGGTGGGCAGTAGCGCGCTACATGTAGCAGCCGCTACTAGCGGCCGCTACATTTTCAGTAGCGGTAGCGGCTCTACATTTAAGGCAATGTAGCGGTAGCGGTAGCGCCCGCTACATATTTAAGTAGCGATACGAGGTTTTGCCGCTACAGCGCTACCGCTACATTTATAGATAAAGCCTTTAGATTTTACTTAAGGGGACCGGCTACCCTCCAACAAAACTTTTTAAAAATGTTTTGTTATCATTAAATGTTAATGAGTAAATCCCAATAGCAGAACAATAAATATTGAGAGATTTCCAATAATTTTGGCCATTGTAGCGGCTAATGTAGCGCGCTACATTTTACTGTAGCGGTAGCGGTAGCGCCCGTTACAATCTAGTGGGTGTAGCGGTAGCGATAGCGCCCGCTACATTTAGAGCATGTAGCGGTAGCGGTAGCGCCGCTACATTTCCAAGTAGCGCTGCCCAGCTCTGACCATATCTATCGATTCGTCGTAGCTTTTTTCGAATTTCGAATTTTAGTGGATGTGGGAGCAATTTTCCCAAAATTTTCGAAAAATTCTCGCTTTTTTCCAATTTCCGCCCCCTTTTTCGAAATATTTTCAAAACTATAACGGAATTCGAAAAAAGCTACGACGAATCGATAGATATTTTAATTACGAATCGAATGGTATATCTTCCATTGCTGTAGCTTAAAAACTCTAGGAGGAGATTGGTTCGCCGTGACAAAAAGTTAACTTTTCAGGACAGCGCGACAAAGTCCCGCGCGCATAGGAATAGCTACTCAGTGTAGCAAGGCCACGAAACTAAGCGTTACAGGAGCTTGATTCCAGTCAAGGATGGTGGGAGAGACTGCTAGCACACCACCCCGTAGGACACCAGTCGGGCTACTGAAGCTCAGCTCTAGCAGACAGTCTATTTATAGTGCTCGGCGGCTAATTTCCCCCATCTAATTTGTTAAAGAACTCCCCCACCTCCCTCCCTTTCATGATCTGCCCTGAACGCATAAATCAACGTACAGAGATGGTTTTGGTACCGTTGGAAAGCTTAGAATGTAAGCTTTAAGATGAGACTAAAAACCGGAAAAGCCAAAATTTCGATTTTCGACCCAGACGCTCCCCTAATTAAACCGAGACAGAACTCCTCTTTGATTGGACAATAATTTCATGTACCAAAATCCACTATTATAGCCACTTTCTGAGCACATAGGTCACATCATCGAATGAAATAATAAATTGTTGCAGGTACTCGGGCAAATTAAGAAATCTATCACTTCTTCCACTCCATGAATATAGTGAATAACACGGAAGAATAACCCAAATCAATTCTCCTTCACCCAATCTATCCACTACATTAATTAAGTTTTTACAGAGATTTCTAGTGGTCGCTCAATACACCGTAAGAAGTAACACCAGATAAATGTTACGGGAGTGGTTACTGAAAAATTACATCAATGAGCGTATTCAGCAGGAAAATGTGGTTGGAGTACTAACATACTCGTTGAAGAATCATGTTTATGTGAACTTGTATTACGTTTGCACAAACAATTATGCGCCGCATGTGCTTCAATACGCAGGCCACAGTCTACGCGATAATTACACATGAAATAACGCTCAAGCACCAACTGGAAAGTTTTAAATGCTTTTTTTATTCAAGTGCACACACCAAAAAGAGCTTTCAGTCTAACAAGTTCTAGTGCATGCGGGGGGTAGTCGGGGTCTACCTCCCGCACCCCCATCGAGGCAAAGCGTAGCCATTGCGCAAGCCCACAAGGCGCTAGTTTAAAACTAACAGTGACGCAGGATGTAGTGACGAATGATCAGTGCTTTTAAAAAAGATTTCAACACTTTTGTCTCCTTCGGTGAGCTTTAAACAATTTAATTGTAAAGACCTTTGTACGTGTGGACATTGAACGGGAAAAAATTGATTCTTTGAAATTTGAGTGCTTGTGAAAGTGTTTCATTGATTACGAAATTTAGGGAGATCACTGTTCTGCAAGCCATAAAAATAATAATTTCTTCAATAATAGAATTGTCCAGCTTTGGGCATATGTCTGCTTGAGCGGCTATAAAAGTTTACTCTTGCAGGTATGCTCTTAGCTGGAATTTCCGAGCATTCCTACGGTCTACAACTTAGTTATTGAAGATTGCGCATGAACGTTCTGGCTGCCCTTACTGTCGTGTCGGTGTGGACTGTCGCGTACAAGGAGGCAGGGAGAACATGTTCAAACGGGATCCCATTTGTGAGCAACTTATTTGATTTACCGTTACTCTCGTATATTCCGCCATCTTTTTTGGTTGTCACTCCAGAAATTTAGAGTGTAGTTGATAATTTGATAGCTTGAGAGTTGAGAAAAACTTCATTTTAGAACTCGATACTTACAATGAAGCGGTCGATTACGGATTGTTGAAAAAACCCATTTGTTGACTTGTGAAATATGATCCGGTGGCTGCTGCTGCAATCAAGTTACTGCAATAACTTGATTTTATTATAATTAATACGCCTTCATATATCGTGTTATCTGCACTATACTATGACATATATGACAGGAAAAAAGTCAATAGTGAAGGAAAATTTATTAGTTTCGCCTTCAAGTATTTTTTATGATGGGAGTTTATGGTGTGACTTTCACAATCACTTTTTCAGAACACAGCAACTGTACGATGCAAGTTTTCGGTACTCGACAGTTAGAGAAGATTTCAGCTTGAGGCATATGCTGTGCATCTGTTGTTGTTTGAGCTTCTTATGCTCTTATACCTCATGTTCTATTCTTCAAGTCATCTCTAGTCTTCAAGTCTACAGGATCAATATGGAATATGCAAAACTGAAGGTTGTGCATTAGCCATTAAGGAGAATCGATTAGTTTCTTGGTTAGGCTAGGCTGTCGGCACTGCATGGCTCACTGCTTCAACGCGTTTCATCGCGTGACTTCAAGGCCTCATTGTAAGTAAATTTGTTCCTCGGATTCAGTTACTGGTATCAATTATATATGGTATCATTAGGTTAGTTACTAGAGTCAAGCCTCATTATTAATTTGTTCTTTGTTTATTGCTAGCTGTAAGTTTTCAAACGGACTGATTTCGGAAATTGTAATCAAAGGCGTCAACGTCAAAATGAACCTTAATTGCAACGTGACTTTTGACGAAAGTTTGGGTTCACTTCTTTCTGTCATCGTTTGAGGCAGAATGTTGAGGCCCTTGCAGAACAAATTGTTCGACAGAAATTCAAGGTGACGGAAACTTTGTGACATGATATGGCAATAAATTCTACTGTTTATCTTAACAACAACGTGGTTCAATCAGAAAGATATACGGATGGAATAGGTGGAATTGCCTTGGCTTGCATTACCTCGCATTTCATGCACAAATTGGAATTTCTTTCTTTTTCTTTTCATTTTAGAAAAACGCCATGTCAAAATGGTTACTTGTTGCAACCTCAGTTTATATATAGAGTTTATACATTGAGCCTCTGATAGGCTTTACTCTGGTCTTGAAACTAAGCGAATAGTACTAGGCTGCATATATATACCGTACAGAGATTGAAATGCTCCCTCCCTTCCCCTCAGTATACTGGGGGAAGGGAGGGGGCATTTTTTAACGCACTCTTTAGATTCGGCCGTCTCCGTCCCGAAGGTATCAGGTGCCAAATACGCGCGCGTCACGATTGCGCCAAGCTCACTCGGTCCATGACCGGATTCCAATTGGAAGCTCATTCCGCTCGTACAACCAGAGCGTAAAGCGGACATAGAGCCGGTTATTTACGCGCTGGGCGAGCTAAATGCGTCTAAAAATTCGGAAGCCTACAACCCTTAAAATTTTGATAGGATCCAAACTTTTTCACGGCACCATAATACATAATTTACATCATTATAAATTAACAATAAATTGTATATATCATGTTGTGTTAACATCAATATTTTGCAGCACTAACGTCAAGAACAGCAACAAGAAATCGAAACAATATTGGGCAATTTATTGGAATAATAAATTAGCTTTGAAAGAGAATTTTTCACCTGTTGAAATTTGTATGAGGCTCAATAATTTTCACGTCACCGGTTTTACTGTGTATTTTTAGATCATTACATAGTACAATTTTACGGCATAGTACAACTAGTACCCTATTGTACTATGCACGAGGCTCAATAACTTACATTCAAACTTTAACTTCAACGTTCAATAACCTGGCGCGATCGCTTCAACTACTGCAGGGACAATTTAATAAATAAATATTTCATTGGCAACAGAGGCTTCAATGTTTGGTATAAAATTCTATTTATATTGATATTAACAAACTACACAGCAATTTCCGGCATCCAGACCTAATTATATGAAATTTCAGCACTGAATCTGATCATGAAGATATGGAAACGTATTTTGTCTAGAACTTGACTGCCGTAAGAACCTGGCGAGTCGCAAGAGAACCACCACCAGAACCTGTACTGCTACTCATACCTTCTGAACCAAAATTCATACCTTCTGACCCAGAACTCATACCATTAGACCAGAACTCACATCGTCTGACCCAGAACTCATACCTCCTGGTCCAGAACTCATACCTCCTGACCCAGAAATCATACCTCCTGGCCCAGAACTCATACCTCCTGACCCAGAAATCATACCTCCTGGTCCAGAACTCATACCTTCTGAGCCTGAACTGATGCCACCTGACCCAGAAATCATACCTCCTGACCCAGAACTTATTCCTCCTGAACCACAACTGATGCCACTTGACCCATAAATCATACCTCCTGACCCAGAAATCATACCACCTGACCCAGAACTCATACCTCCTGACCCAGAACTGCCAGTGGTCCCAAAAATGGGGGAGCTACTGGTCTGATAACTTCCTGTACCGATAACCGCGGTGCTGGTGGTCGTCTCTGGTGAAGAAGTGGTAGTCAACCTCGAGTTCCAGCACTTGCATCCAACTCGAGCTTGAACTTGAAGAGCAGGATGTCCATATCCATGTGACAATATAACCAGTACTCATACCACCTGACCCAGAACTCAGGCCACCTGACCCAGAACTCATGCCACCTGACCCAGAACTCCTACCTCCTGACCCAGAACTCATATTTCCTGGCCCAGAACTCATACCTTCTGACCCAGAACTCATACCTTCTGACCCAGAACTCATGCCACCTGACCCAGAACTCATATTTCCTGGCCCAGAACTTATATTCCCTGGCCCAGCACTCGTACCTTCTGACCCAGAACTTATTCCTTCTGAGCCGGAACTCATATCTCCCGACCCAGAAATCTTACCTCCTGACCCAGAACTCGTGCCACCTGACCCAGAAATCATACCTCCTGACCCAGAATTCATACCTTCTGAGCCAGAACTCATACCTCCTGAGCCAGAACTGATGCCACCTGACCCAGAACTGCCAGTGGTTTCAAAAATGAGGGAGCTACTGGTCTGATAACTTCCTGTACCGATAACCGCGGTGCTGGTGGTCGTCTCTAGTGAAGAAGTGGTAGTCAACCTCGAGTTCCAGCACTTGCATCCAACTCGAGCTTGAACTTGAAGAGCAGGATGTCCATATCCATGTGACAATATACAAACAAGTCGTACGCAATTCTCAGGAATGATTGCCAGGACTTCCGTAACGTGTGGGTACCTGCCGTCGTATTGACAATGGCCGTGGTACATCCCAGTTGAACCTCCGGGCCAAGGAAAATATTTTGGATCTACTGAAGTCATGTTTTCGGCTAGAAATCTGCCACTAAAACTTTGAGAAAACTTTGAGGTTCCTATGCGCAAACCCTGCTTGGATGTTGATGGTTGTAAAACAGCAATGGGCTTCGTGAACTTTCGAACTTTTTTAGCAGCAGAATATTTCAAGATACCAGACAGAAAAATTTGCAAGGTGTCGTTCCAAGCAGGCCTTTTCATTATTTCCATTAGGTCCAAATGAATATTATCTTTGTTTGCTGGAAGCCATTCATGTTCCAGAAGTTCATCCGGAGAATTTCGACTAGTTTCTTTGCACCGACATCGTCTGATGGCCTCCAACTTCACCCTGTCGCCCCAGCAAACCAAAGCCGTGCAGTAGGCGCTGTACGTGGCTATCGTCTGCGGGTATATTACACACATTACGCAGTTATCCTTCACCTTGCTATGGGCAACACTGAACTCGAGGCATATTATTTTCAGCAAAATGCATTTAAAAATAGAAAACGCGTAGTTATTGAATGAATTTTTGAGAAAATGCTTTAAAAATACTAAAAAAGATTAGCCGACGTTTGCTCTTCTTTGAGGTTCCATATTGGTAGCTGGTTTGACAGCTAACGCATGTCGTCAATAGAATTTTTTTGGTTTTGAGAGTTTCTCGTATGTTAATGGCGGTGAGTAAGCTTCTTCTTCAACAATGAAATAAAATATAAGTTTTGAAACAGGAAACATCTTCTGGCAGTAATACTAACTATTACCAATAATATCATGCAAAATATATTTTAAGATGAACCTGAAAAATGTTGAAGCTCTAATTCACTTTCACTTTCATGTAAGTACGTAGATTGCATGCAGGTATTTGCATGTTTGGACATAGATTGTGAGATCCTTTATTACGTCGGATCATCCGGAAATAAACATAGTGTCGATATAAAAAATATCTCATTGAAACTGAAAATAAACAGGATGATAAGATGATAACGGCTCCTCCTGGAAAATACTTCACAATCAAACAGCTGTAGAGAAATTGCGCATTTCGTATGATTATTTTTTTACATAGTACATTTGTTGAATTATTTGTAGGCATAATTACGAATAATTGATTGGATACAAAATTGTTCTGCAAATAATAAGGAAAGGAAAGACAGGAGGCCTTTTGTTGACCTGATGGCGGTGGTATGGCAGGAGGTTGACATGATGGCAGTGATATGGCAAGATGTTGACATGATGGCGGTGGTATGGCAAGAGGTTGACATGATGGCGGTGGTATGGCATGAGGTTGACATGATGGCGGTGGTATGGCAAGAGGTTGACATGATGGCGATGGTGTGGCAAGTGGTTGACATGATGGCGGTGGTATGGCAAGTGGTTGACATGATGGCGGTGGTATGGCAAGTGGTTGACATGATGGCGGTGGTATGGCAAGTGGTTGACAGGACTTTGCCGGTTATAGTTGGATTTTATAGGTCATTGTTAGTTTTTTGGGCATTGGTGTGTATGCTGACAATTTTACTGTAGAGCAAAGTCGGCGTTGCCTGGCTCTATCGTGCTCAATCGGCTAGTGGTTTTATAATTTATGGCGTTATTAATCCTCAATTTTTTTCAATTTATGACGCTATTCCTCCTCCATCAATTCTATTTATGACCATCCATTTATTCAACTCATGACACCATTCCTCCCATGTTGAAATAACACCCAACTTACGTCTCCGCTGTAGTAAATGTAGTAAAAAGTAACACGCAACTTACGTCTCCGCTGTAGTAAAGACCTCCATTGAACCAGCACCCGCTGGGCCGCCCCAGCCTCTCCGCTCCTCCTTGATGGTAAAATATTGACATGATGGCGGTGGTATGGCAAGAGGTTGACATGATGGCGGTGGTATGGCAAGAGGTTGTCACGAAGGCACGCGCCTAACCGGTTGAGATTCTCGCTCGATTCCGCTTCTTTGATCGCCATTAAATCGTCTGCACCGCAGACTAGCGTTGCATAGTTTTGATAAAAATATCTGTCCCTAGAGAATATTGCAGTACATTGCCGGTTATAGTTGAATATTATAGGTCATTAATGGTTTTTTAGGCATGGTTGTTTATGCTGACAATTTTAGAGCATTTTCGTTTCCTGGCTCTATCGTGCTCAATAGGCTCGTATTAGAATTTATAGCGTTTATAATGCTCAATTTATTTAATATATTACGGTATTCCTCCTCCATAAATTCTATCTATGACACTATTCCTAATCCATATATTCAACTCATGACACAATTCCCCCCCTGCTGAAGTAACACCCAACTTACGTCTCCGCTGTAGTAAATGTAGTAAAAAGTAACACCCAACTTACGTCTCCGCTATAGTAAAGACCTCCATTGAACCAGCACCCGCTGGGCCGCCCCAGCCTCTCCGCTCCTCCTTGATGGTAAAATAGAACACGTTAAGTTTATAACTTAAACGCTAACTCTTCTAGTACAAATAAACCATGATTATTACTAATTTTTCTACTCTCGGTCTATTATCAATTTTGCTTCCAATCAACATTATAATGTTATTTGGCAGATGGAATAAAAGATCTGCAAATAACATTCATGTTTGCGGCGAGCCAATGTGTATTACTTTGACCATCGACGCGAAACTCAAGAAAGAAAAGTTCTCAATTAAACAAAACTGTGTAAGAAAACCTTCAGAAATACAGAAACGCTCAATTTTTAGAACGTAGTGTATTTTGAAATGAAAGATGATCACTGAAAAGTTTATAAAAATTTAGTTATTTTAATATTTTTTCTTATCAGTGATATGATTTACCCGTAAAAACTTGCCATAAAATAGAAAAAAATGCAAATTTACTCTAAGTTTGACATAATCACTCACCAGTGAATGAATAAGTGAACAAAATAGAGGATAGGAAGAACACATTCATGTTTCCAGCACCGAGTTGCTGCTGGCACTGCAGACTGCGATGCTGGCAGCGGCTTTTATTACAACAAATGTTCATTAATTGCGACAAATCTGTTCTGCAAAACACCTGAGCCTACAAAACACCGGCAGCTGCATTATGCCAAAGCACCTGCATGTGTAAAGCACCTGCAGCTGCACTATATATACGTTTTTTTGGTGAATGAATTAATTGTGCTAAAATAATTTTGCCGAATATTGCATTCAAGTAACGCAACATTTACGGCACGCAGTTCTTTTATTAACATGTGTGTAACTTTCAGCGCCTCAGAGTTACGTACATATAATTTTTCGGGTTCGTGGATGAATTTGTATTTGCTTTGAAAGGCTGTGTGGTCGTGCACGATTTGTAGGTTCTCCACAACACCCCCACTCCGCTCCACGTACTCCCTCCATGGAGGAAGGTGGAGGCCTCCTTCCCTCTTCCCCCCCTCCCTGTACAGTAGCGGGTTACTTTGATTCGTATATAAATTTTCACAGCAATTGACTGACAGTTATTATATAAAGGAACATAATCGTACCAATGCTACCTTATTGGTTACAACTATTAAAGCTCATTGGAGGCAATTATTTGCCTTTAATAGATCGTCGAAGAAGTAGCGAATAATATTTTTTATTTCGCTTGGTATTTCGTAATAATTATAATACTATATTATTATTTCACGTTATTTCGCTCCGGACTATGCACATTTTTAAACTCGTTTCTGAAAAACTCTTCCTAAATATATTGCGAGTATTAGAGTGAAAAGAAAAGTAAGAATTAAGATTTTTAATTAAAAAAATTTGAAAATAACCTTAGAAAAAAACAATTAATAATAAAAAATAATTCAGTCAGATAAAAATTCAATGGGTCACGTCCGATCTTGGCACCACTCGACAAATCCAGTGGAGATAATGATTTTCATCCCTGGGAAAATGAGTGCATATTCACGCGAATTTGGTAAGAATACGTCTTAGAGAAACTGATCAGTGGGAAAGCGGTGGTGCGGAGGGAGGAGGCCGCGGTTGGGGACTTTACAACTACCTCCTCTAATGCTGTTACATGTACACAAGCACTCACTCATGCGCTCCGTTGGAAGGCGAAAAAATTCTTTAATTAATTGTGTAAAATTGTTTTCTTTCATCTTTTCGTGATATGTTTTCATTCATGTTTTCGTGATATATTTTCATTCATGTTTTCATTCATTCATGTTCTCATTTAGTCATATTTTCATGTAACGGTGAAATTGCTTGGATCAGATCGAGATTAATGCTGCGAGTATATACACCAATGTTAAACATTTCAACATTATTTGTGCGTGACTGACTGACGGGTATCATTCATTAATAGAGATTGTAACATAGCAATGCTACCTAATTGTTAAAGTTGTAACATTTAAATGTCAACTTTATTAGAATGTGTACTTATGAATTCCATAACAAAATCATCGTGAATATCGCTCCAAATACTTTTATAATGATTCATTCCTCGTTCGTGAATGACTGATGCTAAGTTTTATTATGCAAATATTTCTTTATTATCTTGTGTTAAGGAATCTGAATTTCTGCTGGAACTTCACTTATATTACATGAATTGGTGTAAGGAAGTAGTATGCAAATTTCCCACCACTGATAACCACACCACAAAGATTAAGTGCGGCCAGCTTTGACGTGGTCGTTAATTTTATGGCAGGCGTCAGTTATGCTGCTGATCCTGACTGGTGGACTGGTTCCTCTCTTATAAGACTATAGCTGCGACGCCAGGGTGAGTTGTTGCGTGAGATAGTGGTGAGAGTTGAATGCTTCGTGAAATATAGTGATTTTAGTGAACATATTGAATTGTTATGTGTAGGTATTTACTCTTGTTTTCTGTTGTAGGATCATGCGTTTAATCCCGAGACTAAACTTGGCTCTAGTTCTTTCTCCTCGCATTCGAGTTACATAAGCTCTCGTGTCTGATTTTTAATTATTTTTCTGGGTATCCGATTTGTTATTTTGTTTAGTTCTATTCCGCTTTCGTTGTATATGATATGCTATAATTTACTGTTTCTCTTTAATACATTGAATTAAGCTTGTCATTTGAGTTACCAATCCGGCAAGCCAATGCCTTGCCTATCGAAGCCACATCAGGCCTACACTGCAGCCCCGAGATCACTATGCTATGCAATGCTATGAATCCAATAAGAGTGTCGTGCGAGTTTCGGTCATTGGTGGGCGTGACAATTAAGACCATCCGAACTTTCAAGATGACGAAATTAATAATTGGGAAAGTTGAGGCTAGTTCGTCGCAATTGGTTATTTTCTTTTTTGTCAGTACATTGGACTACCAAGCTGATCAATGGGAATTTGGGAATGCAGTTTTAGCGATTAGTTGAGCTTGAACGAACAAATCCTGCCCGAATATTGTATAATTTCGGCACTGTAACAATGACTGTCGGGGATTGGATGAATACGTCAGGTAAGAATGAATTTCATAATGCTATATTCTCGTTGATTCAATTCGAAGATTTAAAAAAAATAATCATTCGAATCATAGTAAATGACAATATAATACTGAATTGTCTTGTTTATGTATTTATTCTCTTCATATTTTAAAACCTAATTACGATAATTTCTCCGTAATCATCCTAACGCTTGACGCTTATTTACGATCAGCCTAACAATGTTGTCATATTATTGACGATGCAAAGAACCGTGTATTGTTAGTCACGGCTCTTTAGAAGCCGCCAATGCACAAGGTAAGCACTTTGAGAGCTGAGTGCTTCCCTCCTCCATTCTGCGATGTGGGGAGCAGGGAATTAAAGCTGCTCAACAATCTCTTGTCACTTACTCATGTCACTCACACGCAAGTGTTCCTGAGTGTCATTCAGCAGGTGTTAAGTGTTAGTTATAGTGTAGTCTGTTTTGTGTGTTGTGCATTGTGTTTTATTTCGTGTGCTGTGTTCTACTTCATTGTGTTGTGCTCTGTTGTGTTGTGTGGTCTAATATCATGTAATGTAATGCCCAACATGGGTCTCGTAGAGTAAAGAATTGAAGCTGCTACAAAGAGTAGCTAACAGCCGGGTCATGCAGCGTAAAGTAATCAAACTGCACCAGCTGTCTCTTATACACATCTAGATGTGTATAAGAGACAGCGCGTATACATATTGCCGTATAACTAGCAAACGAAGGCAAAATAAAAAAATTGTCACGAGCAAAACATCGCCTTTGGGAAGTTAGATATTCACAGTATATACGAACTTTCGTTCAAGTCTGTTCAGTAGTCTAGAGGAAATGTCTTGATCCTGTCTCTTATACACATCTAGATGTGTATAAGAGACAGCGCTAGTGCTGCGAATCACCAGGCAGGTATGACGCTAGTGCTGCGTAACACCAGGCAGGTATGACGCTAGTGCTGCGTA